ATAGTAATATATATATATTTTTGACTGTGGCAGAGCCTAACTTGTCAAGAATAATAGTAATATGTAGGGTAAATTGCACATAAAATACCAACCTTTACCTCATTTGCAAATAAAACTCAACTTATTTAAGTTTGCAATTTAATTCCTCACTTTTTTGTTTTGTTGCAAATGAAGCTCCGACGCAATTCCCGGCCACAATTTTGATGAGCTGTCCGGTCAGATGTTGATTTGGCAGTCAAATACCCACGTGGCAGGCAAAATCATAAATCCATCGTATACAATTAACCAAAAACTGAAAAAGGTGAGAGCAGAGGAAAAAATCGACCGAGCCCTAATTCCCAAATCTTCAATCTTCGCAAAATCATTCGAGCGGAGTTGAGGAAAAAATCGATCGTGCCCTAATTCCCAATTTTTCATTCTGCGCAAAATCGTTCGAGCAGGGGATAGAAAAATCGATCGAAACAAAAAAGTCTGCTAAAACTAAATTTTGTGCTCACAGCACAAAAATTTCCAAATCAGTAAAACTATTTCCATTGATGACACAACCAATTTTTCGGAGCTCCCCATCTTATATGCTTCTTTGAAATGTTAACATATATTACAGCTTCTCAAATTTGGGAAGAGTGCTTCAAAATTTCTGCTTTCAAAATTTTGGAGGAGTGGTCGAAAGCTTTCGGGTAAGTTGATTTTTTTTTGAGTTTGTGGAATTCAAGGAGGGTTTTGAGGAATTAGGGCTCGATCGATTTCTGTTTGCTCTGCATCTGTGAAGAAAAAAAATTCTTTATTTTTAGCTCTCGTTCGATTTTGTGAAGAAGAAAGAATAAATCTCTTTGTATGTAATGAAGTGAAAAATTTGCCTGCCACGTCGGTTTATAATTTTGCCTGCCACGTGGGTATTTGACTGCCAAATCAACATCTGGCCGGACAGCTCATCAAAATTGTGGCCGGGAATTGTGTCGGAACTTCATTTGCAACAAAATAAAAAAGTGAGGAATTAAATTGCAAACTTAAATAAGTTGAGTTTTATTTGCAAATGAGGTAAAGGTTGGTATTTTATGTGCAATTTACCCTAATATGTATATATATCCTACCTTTCTTGACCGGGTAGAGCGCTCGTGCTGATAATGTGTTATGAAATGCGGGGAATATAAAGAACACAATGTAAAAACCGGATATAAATCAAAAGATGCTATTTCTCTTTCTCTTTTCGTCACTTAAATTGTGCACACAAAATGAACTACATATGTTGCCATTTTATAGACAAATTTTGGCACACATACCAATACACATGCTAATATAATAATAATAGGATAATAGTGGTAAATTCCACTTATTTTACAATAACAATAACAATGTTACCAAAAGCCACTTATGTTGTACCAGTGTGTGTTTGTGTGTGTGTGTGTGTGTGATTGTGTGTTCTCAAAGTCTTTTTCCCTTTTCTGTTAAGTTACGGGCGGTACCTCAAAAAATAAATACTGGATTACAAGAATAATTATAGAGCCTAGGTTTTTTTTGCTGGTTCAAAGTTTGTTAATGTCAAGAATAATTTATAGAGCCTAAGTTTTTTTTGTTGGTTCAAAGTTTGTTAAAATTTGTTGCAACATTAAAAGCGAAAAAAACCATTTATCTTGTATTACAAAAATAATTTATAGAACCTAAGTTTTTTTGTTGGTTCAAAGTTTGTTAAAGTAATTTGTTCGTAAAAGCAAAAAGGATTTTTTGTTCAACTTTATTCGACAATTTCTGTGTTAAGTTTTTTTAGCTTTTTTAAACAAAAAAACACATGTATCTGTGTAGACATCTACTACTGGAGAGTCACTTATCAACATGACATTCTATTCCTTACACATGGATAGAAGACTGTCTATTTCATTGCCAATTCACGCCAACTATTGAAGATGCTCTTAGGCCCGCTAAAGATGGCAACCCAAACCACTCAAAGAGGCGGTGAGAAATGGGCCGGCCATTGTTCCCAAGCCCGTTGTGACAACCCATCCTTTCTTTGGATGAAATTTATGTTCTGATTATTGTTGAAGTGTATATAATATGGTTGAATAAATTATAATTATATTTTATATTAGATTTTGTACGGTAATAATTTTATTTCTGAAATTTTAAAAATTACCACAAAAACGAAAATTGAATAAATGTTCTTCCCTCTCTCATTATTCATTAATCATATACTGAAGAATTAAATAATTAAATACCTACAAAATAATATATATTTTAACATTAAAAACACTTCAAATTTACCATAATGAATTTAAATCAACTGTAATTTAGCTCGGTAGATAATTTTTGCTGAATATTTTGTCTCACAACCTTGTTTTTGGGAAACAAAATTTGACATGTTAAATATTTTCTTCGGTCTAACTGTCTTTTCGTAGAAAACTTTTTATTTATGAATTTTAAGTAATTTTTTAAAATAATTGGTAGTACTTCAACAATAAAAAATTGTTATTACAGAAAACGTAATACAAATATAAATCTAATATATATATTTATTCAACCATAATGTATGAAATTCATCAATTAAAAAAAAAAAAAAAAACTAAGACACAAAATTTCATACAAATATGAATTTAATTTATAAATTTATTCAACCATTTTATATATCCATTTAAGTCACCACTTCAGCTCACATTACATGCAGCAAAACACATATTTTAACAATTTCAATTAGTGGTATATTTTGAGAAAATATAGAGTATAGTGTTGGAATAAAAATAAAAATAAAACAAATTAGTGGTATATCTTTGAAAATATAAAGCATAGTATTAACTCAATAAATTGTAGGCCATCCCGCAGCCGTTTCACAGTGCTAGTCAAAACAAGCAATGTCTCAAACAAATATATCCACTGCAAAAAATTTTAAATGGATAAAATGATTAAATGAATGCAATCTGCGAACTACAGTTTCTTCCTCAATAAAATATACAAGGCAATTGCACACCAATAGAATATATATTTTATTGTATTTTTAGAGAGTAAACTGTAAGATGTGACTTAATTACAAAAAGACTTACAAGAAGTGATACAGCAAGTCCCAATTCAGAATATGGTGTCAGTAGTCAACTTCCTTCTCGGGGGAGTTTTCTCTACAATTTGCTTTTGAGGGTCCATGAAAGTCGAGCCTTTGTTCGCAAACAGTCTTCTGAGATTGATCACTGAAAGCTCGTTAAAACTCGCGACTGCTAAGTCAGCCTGCCTAAGAACATACCTGCATTTCAAACCGAGCATCAGCATTTATTTAGGACCGAAAATGAAACATGGGATCAGTTTGTCCAGGAGATATTTGAAATTTTTAAGGTATGTTGATGATGTCCTTTTCTGTAATTATAATGATTAGTTTCTTTAATCATCCCTCGTTTACATTTTAAACTGAGTGAGATCCAAAAATCGAGAATAAATTAGTTGAAAAATAACCTGACAGCATATCGTAAGAACTCACGAGGAAATATTTTTTTTAGCACCCATACTGTGAAAAATAATAGAATAGGTGAATCACTCTACAGTTGCCACAAGTGCTCCTTACCAAAAAAAAAGTTATTCGTGCAAATTAATATTCAGACATGCATGAACAATAGATATTAGACTGAGAATTATATTGATGTTACTTACGCAGGATGAGCACCAATTAAAGCAATGGCCATCATTGTACAGTTGTGAGCAGCAGTTATTCCCCTGGGATCGTCCTCAAACACCACACACTTGGCGGGTTTTCTGTCCAGCTGTTTAAAAAAAAAAAAAAAGAGAGAAAAATCAAGCAGGTCGAGCAATGATAGTTAGGCTATGTTTGGTAAAGTTTAGCCGAAAAACTAGTCATGTTAGTTGATAGCTTATTAGTGAATTTAAGCTTATATCAGATAGCTTAGCTAATATCCCAGGGGATAGTGGAGTATTTTATTTTACATCGAATTTTCCCCGGCATTACCTTAACTGCTGCTGACAGGAACCTGTGAGCTATGGAATCCATACCATCTTCCTCAGATACCATAGCCTGCAAGCAGAAAATGATATTAAGAAAACCATAAAATTATCTTTTATTATCTGTAAGCGTGACTATAGGCTTATGTGAGTGTGAGGGCATGTGGGGTGGGGATAGAGAGAGAGAGAGAGAGAGAGAGAGAGAGAGAGAGAGAGACCTGAAAATACTTTCTCAGTTCCATTCGGTCCAAAGCATCAACCATGTTTTTCCGGTCAAGACTAGAAACAACTGCACAAGGGATGCGGGAAGTAGCAACAGCATCTAACCATTCTTTAAGCCCATCTATGGGTTCTGAGTGCTAAGGAGAATAATACAACACCCATTTACTAGTCCATCCATCAGGGACATCCACTCATAAAATTTATTTGAACATCTTACTCTGATGAGATTTTCATAATATAGCATTGCAATCCTGGCCTTCAGTCTATGGATATCATCTTCGGCCTTCCCCCAGTGCAATATCTGAAATGTAGTAAATGGCAGCTACATCAGCTAAAAGATAAAGCTCAAACAAATTTAAACCTGAAGAAACTGTTTGTGTTGCTTAAGGATAAGCTTATGTTTAACAACATACTCATGCTGGTAATTTACACAAAATAACATTGCAATAGAATTTCAGCATAAAATGTAACATGCCAATTTATACAAGTCACAAGACATTGAAATTGAATTTTTATTAATATGATGCATAAGGTGAAGATGTGCTAAACGATGCATTTACAGATGAAATCATTCATCATCCTAGAAAATATGTTCAAGCCTCATAAAGACTCCAGAAAAATTTGATAAGAAAATCACCTAAGACATGTTAATGGCCAAGAAATTTAGCAAGATATGAAAATTATAAAGACAGAAAAAGAACCAAAACTTTATTCAGTGAACGTAGGGTGATTGGCATAGCATTGAAAATGATGTACCAGCTATCAGCTCCTACCTCAGAAAATCACTAATCGACCTCAAGCACGGTAATATTTTAAGATAAGATATGTATCTGAAAGGTAAAGCAATAAACCATCTTGCAGACTAAAGCATTTCTTTCACTGACAGACTGCCTTGTTGTCACAATTAAGAGAAATTCCATTTAAGTCATAAACATAAATAACCAACTAGTTTTGCATTCCCAGACCTTACGTAGAACATCGTCAGCACCTGCTTGAAGCAGAAATCTTTGCACATTTTCATCTTCAGGAATCTCTTTTCCTGCAAAAAAATTATTACGTAACCGTAAGCAATACAAATTTCCAAGACACTCAGCGTATTTGGTAAGCTATCATCCTTACCCCAAATACAGAAGCTCATTATCGGGATATGACCTAATTATTTTTCTAGCATTGTTAACTGTGCTTTCACACTATCAAATTTTTTTCATAAATTAAATATATATTTCTTAATCTACATTGTTCAGGCACTAATTATCCACTGGCCCAAAAAAACTGAAGTCTGATAACCAGATGAAACTTTTGCACGGGAAAATCTGCCACCCCAGGTAACATCCAGGTGGATTTATATTGCCAGACAAATACTATCTCAATTAATTGTCTAATGCAGTTTCACCGCAACTAAACTATATAATTAAAATATTATGGTACAATGTTACCAACGTAATCAACTAGCGACAAGATACTTAAAGGTGGATATGCTGTCAACCTTCCTCAGATGCAAGTTGTTCCCATGCATGCAACCTCAAAGTTCGAGTATCAGCCTGTACCACAATTAAGGAATTGCGAAATCAGCAAAGCGCATGTGTACTCATTAGTTTGATAGACATAAAGCAAATTAAGTAAATATTTAGAAATATTTAACAATACAACTCTTATTTTTATTAAGCTATTTTCTTAAACATCTTAAACATTTCTAATCTAAGGGACAATGGAGACCCAACCCATATGATGCAGTGGAACCAATTGGTTAGACAAGTTATCCCCAACCCGTAAGCTTACTTGTGGTTAAAACTACACAGGGATTTTTAATCGTCCGATCAACACACATCCGCACGGGTGTGTTTCAGTGTGTGATCAGGTGGTTAAATCCCCCCGGGGTTTTTCTTCTTGGTGATTATTCATTAAGTGAGCACCATGCGACCCAGCCATTTAACACCTAACAATCTATATAATAAGAAACTTGATCAAAGTTTGAAACTTTACCACGACATTGTCCCAAGAAAATATGAGGCCATACGCTTCATCAGGCTTCATGGCGTATCGGATCCTTCGGAGAAACCCTTCTTGCATATTATCATTTAAAAAGTCCTATCATGACACCATCATTAAATAAACTATAAAGCCATATTACAAAACAAATAACAAATAAACAGCCCGAATATCAAGAAAATTAAGTTAAGGAGATCCAATTGCAACACGAAAAAAAGATCCCACTGTTTACCACATCAACTTTAAGGGGACCTTCAGGTCTAAAAGTCTCGAAACCTTCTCCATATTCAGCCCCAATCACCTGGCAAAAATTAAAAGGAAAAAAAAAAA